TGCTGCTATTAATTTTACTGATTCAATTATTCTAGGCCTTCCTGAATATAGGGAAAAAAATTAGTTGTTTGAAGACGACCTCTGTAGATTATTTACTTTGATCAGTAGTGATCTTGAGGTCAAAAAAATTCCTTCTAATACCTTAAAGTAAATTACTGTCTTTTGATAACACCAAATACATTTTTTGTCTTCCCCAGCAGCAGGACCTGTTGTGATCTAATTTTTTAGGTCTGCAATTTGATCTTCTGTTAACGAGCAATCGGGAAAATTAATGAAAACATCCTTCTGAAGACATAGTAGTAGCGTAATGGAAAAAGGAAGAATGCTTTTTTTTTAATTTTTAACCAGTACCTACTTTTACAAGTGGGCTTTTTTTAATTTTATACATCCTTTTAATTTCAAAATTCCCAGTCGTAATTCTGTCGCAATTTGGATATACGTAAAACGGAAGCGTACAATTTGTTCATGTTTATCCATCCTCCAACTAGATTATTTAACTTGATAAGCTATCAACGTTGCTTCTCCTTGTCCGCTACTTTAAGACCATTAATGCAGCAAAAAGATGTTGATGTTACCTGTTCGTCCAAATTTTAAAATAAAAAAAAATTTTTGCTGTACGTGACGCGCATCTAATTCTGATAAGGATTTCAATCACTGTACTCGACTCTTCTCAAATGTGTTTTTTTTTTTTTGGTGCAACTTCCCTGCTCATTTTGAACTGTAATAAAGATCCGATTGTTTTTGAATGTTTTAGCTTTCTCTTAAAATCTTTACTGTTGTACTTAAAAATTTCAAATTTTTCTAAAGAAAACGGGACGGAGCGCAATTTTTTTTACAGGAATGATGAATACTCCGTCTATTCGCCCTCATCCCGGCTTCAACGCTCAAGCTGACGCTGAAGCGCTTCGTAAAGCTATGAAGGGTATCGGATGTGACAAGAATAAGGTTATTACAGTCCTATGTGCACGTTCAAATTCGCAGGTGAAAAAGTTACCTTAGTCTTCTTTTTTTTTCTGGTTTTCTACCGGTCATCGTTAAGCAATATAAAAATTGTGAAGAGTTTTCTCGTTTTACTGTAAAAAAAGCCTCTTGAAAATAAGTAATTTTTCCTAAATTCCTTCGTGTAGTCCACTTTAATAGGATGGAAATTGCATCAAATAATCCTATATTTGAATAAACATTTTAACACCAGATTCTGTTTCCTAATTTGCATACCCCACTGTAATATAGCGAATAAATAAATTTTGTGGGAGATGTCTATGTTTTGTTTCTCTTCCAGCGTCAGGAAATCAGCACTGCTTTCAAAACGATGTACGGTAAAGATTTGAAAGGCGAGTTGCGCAGTGAATTATCTGGTGATTTTGAAGATCTTATCCTGGGTCTTATGGAACTACCGGCAAATTTTGATGCGCAACATTTGAACAGGGCCATGGCAGTAAGTTGGGCAAAAGAATTATGCATTTCACAACGTTAAAAACAAAAAATGCATGATAAATTTGTGAAACTTCAAGAGAAAAAGAATACTTTGTAAATGAAAATATATCTGCAAACAAGTATAAGCATAAGTATTACTATGAATGAATAAAATTGTGCTCCCCTTAATTTCTAAGGATGCTTATATAAACTGTTGCATTTCTCTTATCCTGTTTATTTATTATTTTGCAGGGTTTGGGTACTAACGAATCAGTGCTGATTGAAATTATGTGCTCACGAACAAATGCTGAAATCGGTGTTATAAAAAGTGCGTACCGCGCACTATACAAACAAGATCTGGAACGTGATATCATTGGTGATACCAGCGGATACTTCCAGCGTCTGATGGTGTGCATGTCAGCTGGCGGTCGAGATGAATCACAACGGACAGATCAAATAAAAGCTAATCAGGTACAGACATTACTTTTTCGTCTTTGCCAGAAGAAAAGTTTAAATGTGCTACTGTTTCTAAAATAGTTTCCCATAGAGTTACTGTTGATTTCAGGATGCTCATGCTTTACACCGAGCTGGCGAACAACGGCTTGGCACTGATGAAAGTTCTTTCATTGCTATTCTCGCTTCACAAAACTACGCCCAACTCCGACTCGTTTTCCAAGAGTACCAGAAGGTTTTTACTGACTAATTTCTCCTTCCACTGATTTCGTCACCAGATGTTAAATCTTTATTGATCACTGGAATTATAATACTCCAAGTGAATTCAGATTACTGGCCACTCCATAGAAAAAGCGATTGAGGCTGAATTTAGCGGAGACATCAAGGATGGACTTCTAGCAGTTGTTTCTTGCATCCAGAATCGTCCAGCTTACTTCGCAAAATTATTGTATAACAGCATGGCGGTTGGTCGTTTCTCACTGCCTTGTATCTTTTAAGTACCAATTCAAGCGCCGTTCTCTAACTCGGTAGAGGTGGAAGGACTGCTGTTGCGTGCAGACGGCACCAGCCGCCTTCTACTTATATAGTTACTTTGACCACCTACTCACCTAACTTTCCAACAAGTGTTTAGGGGCTTGGAACCAGAGACAAAGATCTTATCCGTCTGGTAGTCACTCGTTCGGAGGTTGATCTTGCCGACATAAAACGGGAGTTTCAACGATTGTACAAAAAAAGTTTAGTGGACATGATAAAAGGTGACTGCTCTGGTGCATACAAGGATGGACTTATTGCCATAGTGAACGGCAACTGACCAGCGGCGAACACATCCTCACTGCCACGAGCAACTAGCACTGCACTGTACCGGTTTCGTAACAGAATCTGAATGTTTAATTCCCCTGTTGTATGTTTGGAAACATATCCGTGTAATTAAGAATTGAGTAAATGTAATTTCGCTATAAACTGCTTGTGTCCCTCATTAATAAACAGAGCATAAAGTCGCCGCTACAGCAACACGAGTTGCGCTGCGCGGTCCAACGTCTCATCGACTAAACTTTTAAACCCGCGAAAGGACACTCAATAAGGACCTCCCAAAAAAACACCATCCCGCTGCTTCGCTCACCACCATCTCTTCGCGCCCTGTCTTTCTTTATGGTACTAGACCGAAAACTATAAATGCATCACTTCCTACCACTCAGCCCTCACGCCGAGAACCCCAATAAATTGCAAGACAAACCAAACCACAACCCCTGAAAAACTTCTTTTAATATGGTCAATTTTATTTGCAAAAAAGTATGATTCCACTCCGTGCAACAGGCACTAAAACAAAACCATTCGCCAAAAACCACACTGTCCAGTCTCAACCAGCAGAAGTTTCTGCAACTCCCTCTCAACGACGGGGAAGATCCAACAATGTAAAATACAACGTTGAAATGAACTAAATGTTCTGGGTACTACTCAGAGCGAGTAAGGTACAGAACGAGACCAGAGTAGCAAAGAAATACTACAAAACGCCAGCACTTTAGAACCACAGCAGTCTTCAGAAGTCGTTAGTTCCAACCCCCGTGGTTACCCAAATCGTCCTCGGCAGGTTTCTTGAATTCGATACCTTAATCATATTAAGCAATTTTACTGATACAGTTCACCTACTTGTAAGTGCACCTCCATCACACCAAAAAACGACTATTTTTTGAACAAAAGACTTGCTCCCTCACCTAGGAGCTACCCAGCATAATAACTCACCATCGTCATGAAATTCAAAACCTCGTTTTTCAACACTAGATTGTCCAAAGCCAACTGTGCTGAGCTCCTTAGTCACGGCCTTGACGTCTTCATCTTTAGAAGACTGGAAAGCTGGAAATCAAGGACCATTTAGTCGAAGTTTACCAAACGTGAAAGAAGAAAGTTGAAGGGGGACAACCCCTAACTTACTTCGAAATCCTGAGCTCATTTGTAACATAAACTCCGGGACCTCTTGCTCGACCTCCCTCACTATCTATAAAATGTATCTATAAAAAACAGCGCAAAACCAGTCGCATACATTCTGAAAACAAGCTGCACAACCTCTTCACAACAGTTAAATACCAACAGTGCAGTTTACAACCAATGTCAATCTGAACCACTACAAACTCGCTTGAAAACTGACCTTTATGATTTCTGGTACCAATCCAATATCGTTGGGATCATTGATATTAACAAATGAGGTCGCATGGCCACGCCTCAAACGTCCTGTGCGGCCAATTCTATGTACATACGTCAGCGGCGTCAGCGGGAGATCGAAATTTACGACCTAGAACAAAAAAGGTGTCGCTGTCACTATGAAGTTTAGATCAGAAAAAGATTCAAATAAATGATTCAGTGATATAAGAACGTATTCTAACTGCTACATGTTTCAGCATAGACCAGAGAAAATCAAAAATAAATAGCCCTGCCGTCCACAAAACCTAGAACGACCGGTAGAAAAGCGAAAACAATTTAGAACTAATTTGTGGAAAACGCCAGCTACAATTTGAAAAAAAAAAAAAAAATGAACGGTCCTCCACAATAGAATTACCGCACGCATACAAAATAAACATACATGGTCCAAATTCGGAATGTCAATCCCTCGAGCACAAACGTCTGTGGCGACCAAAACTTTCGTTTCACCTTTCCGAAACCTGTTAATCGCCTCTTCTCGCTGCGCCTGCTCTCGTCCTCTAAATTTGAAAACATTAAAAGAACAAACTTAATAATGCAAATACACAATATACGAAACTAACCGCGACGAAGACTGGCAGACATATTCTAAACACTATGACACTGTAAATAACAAAGACGTTTATTAAATATTCCAAATCACACCCGTGAATACTAACTGCAGGAATCCCGCCGTGTGAGAGATATATAGATACTACATCTGTAGTATTTTTTCTCGTAACAAACACTAAGGTCCTCCGAACTCCTTCCTCTGAATTATTTTCCTTCTCGAGAAGAGCTTTCAACTTATCCAGCTTCTCGGCATTACCAGCAGCAGAAACCTGGAAGCAAAAAAACTAATCCGACAAGGAACCCTGCTTGGAACACAAATACTAAACTTGTCTTGCAAAAAATAGCTTTTCGTAAACTATTCAACCAACTTAGGGGAACGTTACCGACAACGCCACAACGTTCATCAGAAGCGGAAGAACAAGAAACACCCTAAAGAAAGCCTAAAAACCTTTAAAATTAACCTTTATAAACTGCTGCTCCACGTTTGCGTTCGCTGCATTCCTGTGTCCATTTGATACAAACACGTAAGAATTATTTAACAACCTCTGTGCAAGAGTTTGGACTTCCTCGTCAAATGTTGCACTAAACATCAGAGTTTGGCGTTTACCTTTCTAAAACGGAAAACTATTGCACTGGTGGTTTAAAAAAAAAAAGTAATAACATATTACTAAAGGTAAGTTTTGTAAAAGAAGTGCATAATCCTCCATCCTGATTCACCGTCAATACAAGTATTATAACTCTCAAACAAACTACAGCCACCCTTAAGACTTCAGGACAAAAAAAAAAAAAAAAAAAAAAAAAAAAAAAAAAA